TAGGGAATACAAGAGACGTTTTGGGATTGCTTGCTATGATAGTTGATTATGCTCAAAAATTTAATATACCTACACTGATAGTTTGGCCGCACATGAACTTCAAAAACATATTACATGCAACGCGCTCAAGCTACTGACTGTATCGCTGAGCGTTATGAAACTGTAATTTAGATGAGTGATTTTTGAATTGCTTCGTCCTCCAACCTAGTTCTTGCAAGTGTTTCTCTCGGAAAGTCTTATGTGCAGCATTATCCGCTTCATAGACCTTCGAGTCTTAGATAGTTTTGTCGATATTGTTCCTTGTGAATGTTCAATCCATGTAACATTATGGGTTATGCTAATACACATTACTTAAAAATTCTGTTCAACAGGTAAAGTGGAATACTTTATGGTTCTTCTGGATCCATGGAAGCTTGCCAAAACATGTCGAGTCTCCATGACAGCTTTGTTTTCCGTGCAATTTCTGCTGATGGGTCGCTTCTATTAATTTTCAGTATTTCATATGTAGATTATTCGCTGACTTCTTCCAAAGAGAGGTTTTCCACTCTTCTCTTCTCTTCTCTTCTCTTAGTTCTCTTCATCATTATCTGTCATCACTTGTCTTCCTCATATTCATCTCCAAGTCCATTTCTTCTGGTGCTGAATAGTCATTAACTGCACAACGTTTCAAAAAACCCTTTGACGTTTATAGGTATGCATGTCGAGTACGGTGTAGTTTCTTGAATACATCCTCCATTGGCAGCGTGAAAAGTTCTGATTGGTGTTCTCTTCCAGCTGTACTGTCAATGTGGCATTTGTTTAGATTTTACGAACAAGCTGCCTCTATGGTGGATCAATGCACATTCTATGATGCATAGCTCGATGCTATTGAATCGAATGCCTTCTCATAGTCAACAAAAGCGAGATACAGGGTAATATGGTATTCCTTGGCTTTTTCTATGAGATTTTTTATGGTGAAGGGATAGTCAGCAGTACAAAAATCATGACGAAACCCAGACCGTTCAACTGATTGAGCTGTCCATTTTAAGTCATGAGCGGTATAAGATGATGATTTTCATGAATATCTTCTATATTTGGGGTAATAACGAGATGGGGCGGTAGTTTCTGCAAAAGAGAAGCGAAAGAACATGAAGAAGTTAGGCATTTAAAAAAAATCTTTATATTGGTCCGCTCACAAAAAACAAGGTCTATAGCAGAACAAAGTAAGTGGCGATTAACTCTCCGTTTGGACATGTTGAGGTTAAAACGTTCAATTAATGAAGTAGGAGGCAAGGAGTCCTATATTTAGAGGTACTCAGGGTAGCCAACTTTACCACATACAGTTGGGATGCCTGTGAGGTTCTGGTGGTTCTTTAAAAACTTCTCCTAACTGGAAAGAGGCTGCCCAGATCGTCAGAACATCTCCCATCGTAATAGCTATAGAATAACAAGTCGCCCACCTTGCAATGAATCGGTGAGAGTTGGATTGTCCATAATTTTTATTGCTCTGCTTTGTACTGCATCTTATAGCATCGCTTTAAATGTGGGAACAGTATTCCATACATGGTCTGATTTGAGCCTTATAGAGGAGCAGAAGTCGTTCAGACGTAAAGAAGTTTTTCGCACGAAACAAATAACCTATTTTTTAAGAAGCGGTTTTGGCGATCGAAGATACATCATGCCAAGACAAGTGGGTCGATGCGGTTACTCCAAGAAGAGATACTGAGGGGTTGATAGGAAGGTTTTGTTCTGACATCCCTAAAACTGGGTTATCATCGGCGGAATATTACTTATTTGAGAATACTGTTGCTTGAATTTGAATAGGTTGTTAAGGCCCCAGTTGCTAATGGTATCAAGATCACTGTTGATTCTCTTCTCAGGCAAGGCGTGTGGAAGTGGCTGCAGTAAGCGGTTTGTCAGAAGAGAAAGATGCCATCAAGCTACTATCGTCCGCAAAGCTGTATATGGGATTTCTTTTCACATTTAACAAATCATTTATTAAAATGAGGGACAGAATTGAGCCTTGAGGATCGCCGGCATTAAAAGGCAGTGTATCAGAAGACACACCATCGATCACAACATGCAACATGCCTTCCAAAAAGCTCCCCAGCCAATGGCAAAATTCGTTCGGAAGATCATACGATGGAACTTTGCCTATGAGACCTTTGTGCCACACCTCATCAAAAGCTTCGGAGCTCTGCTATTGTCCTCCATTGTAGAATTGGATGCAAATTATTTGGCGATGAGATCTTCTTTTTCCTTTGGAGATATTACAATGGAACCATTGTCCTTATCCAAAGCTGGAAAGGTAGATGTGAATCTCTATGACGTACGTTACCAGTCGGTCCATAATTTGGCTCTTATAGGTATAGCTAGGGCACCTCGTATAAGCCATTATAGGAATTAGGCATTCCAACGACCTGTCAAAAAGTGCGTTGTGGCGGAAGTTCATTATCCCGTATATGAGAGTATGTAATTTAAAGCTTTTTAATAGTAGATTATACCACGAGTCAATAATGATAGCTATTATTCCCGAGGATTATTACGAACTGAGCCGCGTTAGCGGCGAGGGAGTAACATTCCGAGGGAATAATAGCCATTATTGCGAGTAGTATACTCTACTTTATTTACGACAAATTAATTTATTTGAGATTTTCAATGAACAAATTTCATCCGTCTCATAATTTTCAATACAAATCCACAAGCACTACACGTTTGACACTGACACTTTTGTGGAATAATGACCATTAATCCCGCTACTCGTCATTAATCCCTGGAGGAATAACATATGTCATTATACTGCCAAAATCACAAATATTATAAGCACATTATACATTAGTCGTAAATAAAGTGCATTTTGTGGTTGTTTTGTGAATGAACTCTGTTTATTTTTTTATTTTATTGACTTCATTAGTGTTTCTCTCAATTAAAAATGCCACAAACGGGTCTTGAAGTTGATTGTGGAAGTAGTTTCAACAAGGTAACAAGGATGATGTCAGGCTTTTTTCATTGCCCTTTGTTTTAAAATTTTCCAATTAAAACGTGAAAATTTTTCACTACCACTGTTCCTGCATCTGAAATAAAGCCATTTTCGAAATATTCGTAAGAATCTAAGCTTTTGTAGGCCTTCATTTGCTCATTAATGTGAACTGTGGATCAAAATGTCATCTGGACATTTTTTTAAACTAACCGTTCGCCCAGATCCCGATTTTCTTGCATTCAAGTCTTTAAATATTCACTCTGCATCTCAAAAAGTATATTATAACAAAGTAAATTGTAATTAGCTTGAAAATATTCCAAATAAACTCAAGATAAACAAACAAACGTCAAATTTTCCACGGTCGCCATATTGAAAAATCACGTGGTTTGGAGAGCCTAATTCTAAGTTTAAGCCAATTTGTTTTGCTGTTAGTGTTATTTCAAAAATTGATGTAACTTCAATGAAAATACTGAAAAAAGTTGCCGAGAGCCTAGACTGAAGTCACTCTTTTGAAAAACAGTTGGTTTAATGTTATTTTTGTTGAGGAGCAAATCGTTATTTTTGATTTTTTTTTCTATTCTAAATTTTACTCACTCTAGATGAAAAGTTTAAATCCTTATTTTTTTTTTCAGGTTACAGAATGTAGAAATTGTAGCTGAGGTTCGTCATTCATTTATTATCAGTTCCCCCGTTGTTGCTTCAACTTTGGGTGAAAATGCTCTCTTGGAAAAAGACATTGGGTTATGACCTGAGCTCAAAATTCTCATTAGTTTTGGACACTAAAGAATCACGAGATTTTGAAAGCAGCATCTGGATCGTTTGTGTAATTGATGTAATCATGATAGACTTCATTCAAATGTTGACAAATGATATTTTGTAAGTTCAACTCGCAAGGTGAGTAGAATTGAAAAAAAAAAATAACTTTTTCTTTCATTAGGCATGTGCGTTATCTTGGATGTCCCTACAAAAGCGCTTCTGAGGCATCTGCTCTGCATGACCAATACGCCACAAGGACAGGCTTGTCAACATCGGATTTTATCAAGCAGTCGGTCGAAACTTTGTATGTGTTAGTTGAGGCCGTAAAGTACACTTACAAAAAGTTATTCCAAAATGGTAAAATAACTTACAGTAATCAGACAGCACTCGGCAGCAGCATACACTACGGGATTGAGTCAATGAACAACACATAAAGGTACCCATATTGCGTGTTTAGAAAATAAATACTGAGCCAGTACTGATTCCTATGGCCTTGAGAATATGCTCGCAATTATGGTCACAAACCTTTAAAAAAATTGAAGGGGCTCAATGTTCCAGCTTTAGTCAGCATTGAAACTGACATTTGAAGATAATGTCATGGATTCCTGGTTCATGAAAGTTCACTCCACAAACAACAGCAACTTTTATTGAACAAACTGACCTTGTAAAAATTAATTTAACAAACCGTACACAACAAATCTTATATTTAAACTACACGCTATTAATAGGCGACATTGTATTCGGGATTTCTCTAGAAGAACTTTTTTACTTGAATATAATGGGATTCCTAAAGACAGTCCTCCAAGACATACGTTTTTTTCATCTCTTGAGCGCTACAATTATTGAACACCTGTTGAAAGTTCTGTATTTGAATGGAATATTATATTTTTTATTTCAAACTGGAATTATGCTTGTTCATTCCTTTTTGTTAACTTGCATTTTGTATTTGCCAACATACTCACTTGAAATCATGTATTTGTTAAATCTACATATTTTCATATTTATACTTGCATATTTAGAAACCTAGACTTGATTCTCAACTTTGTATTCTCTTTTAATCATCGTTCATTGTTCATAGAAGTGTTATCAAATCATGTTAAACAGCATAAATGTATCAAATCATGTTAAACAGCATAAATGTATCAATTATGTTCAGTTCAATTCATCAAATTCCAAATAGATAGTGTATAGAAACATCGCACGTAATCGGTGCGCAAAGATCCTGAATCCGGGCCTGCGATTTTCATACCCGTAGTCTTTCAACTTGGCTGTAAATTGACATACCGCATACCGCAGCTGACCAAGTACCCGGTTAGACAGAGAGAAGCCTAGAGAAAAAAGATTTCGAGTTGCGATAGTTGTTGAATTTGTGTTTTAGGAATAGATGCAGGTAGATATTGAATAATACAAATAGTTGTTTTTCAGTTTGTTTTTCGGTCAAGATATATGCTTATAAACGGTTCTAATACCTTTACATTAGTAAATTTCCATTGTTTGTGTCGTCTAGATTTTTTTAAAGAACGGCTAGGTGATTATTAACCCTACATTTCATTTTAAGTATTTTCATATTTTTAATAATAATTTCAAAAGGCATTTTTATAGATAAATACTTTTTGATGATCTATGTATTTATTTTAGCGTTTATACTAGCGGAAACGAGAATATGAGACGTGGGAAACCACCCCAGGAACTCTACACACCTGGAAGTTTTAATAAATTGCGACGTTCAAATCAAGGCACCGAAGATACCCTATGCGATCCTGGAGGAGTTAATGTTCCTCAGAATAATTTCGCCCCTACAGGCGAATTAACAGCAACCACACAGAAGAGTTCTAATCAAGACCAACAAAAAAGACCAAAGAAACCTGAGCGGGAACTGTATGTTGTTAAACCAGCTGCTCATGCTAGGGAGCAGCTTAATTCTTCAAATTTTCAAAATCAAAACTTTGGTCAAGAGACAGGTAAGCCTCCTTCATTTAGATATCCAAAAATTATATGTAGTTTGTAAATTCACCTTACTAACTATGTCATTTAACAGCTAGGGCTAGGCAAATAAAATATTCTCAAAACCTAAATACATTAGGGTATTATATTTGCTCTACCTGCTTAAAGCATCTAAACCTCAACTCGAGCTTAGAGAACAGCAAGTGGCCTACATCTGCATGTCATTTTTAGTATAATTATTGTTATTAAGCACTTTCTGTCTAAATTTGATAATTTCTAAGATACTTAAGAATTTAAAAAAATATCATAAAGCATTGCAAAACTGAAGAATTTTGAAAGTTCTATGAAAAAAACACCAAGCAGCTAAAAGCTTGAAATGTTGGCCGTTGACTTCTTGGTTTTGGCAGAAGGTATATACTCTACATGTTTTGGGAATAATGCATTTATTACAGTAACATTCTGGTGTCTTCTAGTTTTCTCTAACATTATTGCTGAGATAAATTTTTTAAAATTAGGTGAAACACTTACATCAAACGTTTAAGCATAATTTTATTAAGGATATACATAAATAATCCAAGTCCTGCTATTTCAAAATTGATTTTAAATAAACTCTACAGAATTTCGCTAGTTTGTAATCAATATTTATCCCCAACTTATTTTAAATTGTTATGAAATATGTATTTGTTTGTATAGAACTAGATCTATGTTTGGATGGTTTTTGATTTTGAAACTTGGAAACTTGTGCTCTGCCTGAATATTTTCTAAATTCAAAAAAAATTACACAGAAATCTAAAACCACGCGAATAATAATTTATTTTAATGACCCATTATCAGTAGGTACCTATAAACTCCATCATTTTGGTGTGGGTTTTATAGACAGAAATCTAAAACCATGCGAATATTAATTTATTTTAATGACCTATATCAGTATAGGCTCCAACATTTGACTTGAGTTTTATAGACCTCCACTTGTAATTTTAATAACCAAGTTAGAATTATTACTCTGCTACTGTTGCATTTTATGTTTTCTTCGAAATCCAACGCGATAAGAGTTAATTATTGCGCCTCGAAGTCGCCGGTCGGATGAAAATGAACCTTGACAAAATACGAACCATAAAAAAATATTCAATTTCATCAACACCAAACACATGAAATCACTTCTAGGAATTTCAGGCTTTTATCCCAGATTAGTAAACAGTTTTGCCAACCAAGGTAATGGAACCAGAAAATTAGGGATGTAAAATGATGGTCATTTATTTCTTGTGATAGGTGACAGTCATTTTTTTGTCACTTTTGTCATTTATTGTCATTTATGGTCATTTATCTCCAATGTCGAACATAACATAACTTAAATCAATAATCAGATACTTATCTGATTGGTTAAATAAAGTTCTTCTTCAGTTTCACAGTCATCCGCATCAAAAAGTCTGTTTCCACAGAAATCAAACCAGTCAGAGCAAATTTAATTGGTTGAAAATGGTAAGGAAACTGGTTTTTGGTGATTTGGGCCAATCAAAAAATGCTCGGAGTAGTTTGTGATTTCCGTGGAAACGGACTTGAAGTCATCTAATGAGTTAGAAAGTATCGCTTCCATCTCCTCCACTAGATTGACAGTAAAAATCGAAAGTCAGCTGAAATTTTAATGACACTCTCATATATTTCAATGACAGTCATATATTTTAATGACGGTCAGGTATTAGGTCTGTTCATGCAGAAATCACAAACCAGTCAGAGTGAATTCCATTGGTTGAAACTATTTTTCTGACTGTTTTCAACCAACGAAATGTTCTCTGACTGGTTTGTGATTTCTGCACGAAGAGACAAATTATTTTGACAGTCAGAAAATTTAATCCATAAAAACATAAATGACAAGAGTGTCATAAAAATAAATGACGTGACCGTCATTTTCATTTTGACCGTGACGTGACATTGTCAGAAAAATTGGCTTACATCCCTACACTAAATGTTTGAAAAAGAGTTTCAAAATTATTTATACCAAAGAATTTTTAAACTATAAGACATGCGCAAAAATTTATTAACTATACAGGGTGTTTGGCAGAGGGTTAGACAAACTTGGTGGGTGTATAGATAGAACCTTTTGAAGATATTTTATTAATACACTGGGTGCCTTCAAGGTCCCTGTTTTTTTTATATCATTGCTTTTGTATTATTCTCAAGAATTCTCAAAAATGGACCTTTTAACTTCTGTAACTTTCATTAAGATCAAGGATACCCTACAGACCAAAAACACATGAGAATAACATTTTCATGAACATTATAAAAAAAAAGTTACAGAAGTTAGAAGGTCCATTTTTGAAAATTCTTGAGAACAATACGAAAGAAATGATAAAAAAAGGGAACTTAACGCCACAAGTGTATTAAAAAAATATCTTTGAAATGGGCCTATCTATACGCCCACCAAGTTTGGTTAACCCTCCGCCAAACACCCTGTATATTAACCAATACCCTGACTTTTCCAAGCCCTCTAATTTAACAACAGACGCAATTCTAGTGAAAAAAAAAAAATAGTTTCTAGAAAATCAATTTTCAGTTATCGATTTATAACTTATGCCATTATGTCTAATAGTAGTAAATAGTTCATATTTGGCGCTATGCCCTCTGCCAACCAACCGCCCACGAACTTCTCCTTTTACCTATAATAATTTTGTCAACACAACAAAATGTGCTTTATGGATGGATGACCCATTTATCAGCGGTCATTTTTCATGGAAAAAAATTCTTCTTACCATTTCAAAATTAAATTAATTTAAAAATTTATAAGGAGTAAAATTATGACAAACCAGCAGCTGTGTTTACTGTCCTTCATCATTACTCATCATATCACAATCTAATTAATATCAGTTGGGCTTATCTACATGTTTAGTTTTTAGTCAAAAATTGCAGACAGAAAAATTGTCATTACTCATTTTTTGATTATGTATGAATATTTTTGATTAAACATTTCAGAAACAGATCGCGATTGGATATTAATTATTATGCTTAGAATTTCTTGTAGAGACTTTAAATATTAAAAAATATCTATATTGGGAAAAACTGGAATTTTCTAATGACTTGTATGTCACTAAGTACCCAAATATTACCCATTACCCAAAATTTCTTGGACCAATCATACTTATTTAGGTCATTAGGCCAAGTGCTGAGTCTTTTTGAAACAAAAAGACCTGGACTGGACATACTTACATATTAACTTCAAGAGACTGCCGTGTTTCCTTTTAGAATTTATTCATGGCTTTTTAAACCCATTTGTAGAGAAATAAAAATTTTATTACTATTTATTTTTATTTGGCGTTGACCTAATTTGATATTTTCCATTATCAGTGGCTATTAACCTAGATGAATTATTTATTTATTTTAAGGTGCATTAAATGATTCTAATCCCCAAAACGATAGAATGCGAAGATCAAAGACATACTCAAATACTAGAATCAATCATGATAATAATAGTGGCAAAGGCAATAGTGAATGGAGAGACAAATCGCCAAATCGCAATAATTATAGAATGGGCTCAGAGCCTAGAGGTAAGTTTCACATTTAATGCTGTTGTAATTAGTTTAGAACTTTTTCTATGTAGGAGGCAGTAATGGTCCAGGCTGGTACAGTGATCGTCACAGGGAAAGGGACACAAGAAGTGTTGAACCAACAGGAGTTGGTTATAGGAACAATAATCCAGATGGTGGCAGAATTCAGTCTAAGCCGCCTAGCGGTAGAAGGCACAGTACAACCGGGACTTACTTCTATAATGATCAAGATAAGAGAAAGAATTTCCAAAAACTTCCACCAAGATTAAAAAAGAAATTTATAAATGAAAGTGGATTGACTGCAGAAGAATGTGCCTGGTTGGATGACAGTATTAGTTATCCCGATAATGTTCAACCTCAACACCAGCAAGATAGCTATAATCCCGTAGATTCATACAACACTCTTCCTCATAGCACAGCTTCATCACATTACAGTAATTTTTCTGTGGGCTCTCACACTTTACCAAGTCGACCTCGTGGAAGAGGTCGATTCCATCATCCAGATTCGGAATTTAAACCTGGACCTGCTTTTAGATCTGTTACACCGGATATACCCAAGTAAGAAATCTCCTTGATCATAATATTAAGTTGGGTCATAATATAAGTTCATCTTTTGACTATTTTGATTGTTGATCTATATCCCGTTTACATCAAAAAAAAAAGTTAAACTTCCTAATTTCTATTTTCCTTTTATTTTTCATTTGCCAAATTTTTGTTTTTTTGATTTTTATTTTTGTTTTTTACTTTTTTTTATTAAGCACCCACAGAAGCCCTGCAAATTCCCGTCCTGGCACACCTACTAAGCGCTTTGATAATAGACCTCCTAGTCGCCCCCCGAGTTGTTCTCAAACACCACTTGGCCACTATGAGGATAACAAATATTCAAATGATTCTTGTGGAGATAATAGGGGGGCTAAACATATTGCTTATGACGAACCCAGTAGGGGGGCTAATAAATGGGGCAGTAGAGCTAGCGAGCCAAGGCATTTAGAAAGGTAGGATGCTTTCTTTAAGAAACCTTGTTTATTCAATTTTTTTTTTTTTATTAAATATTCCAAGAATTGTTGTATATTTTAAACTTTAATTTATCAGTAGAGATGACAGCAGCCAACAGGAATCAGTTCAGAGGAAAAGTGCTAACAACAGAAATAATACTCGAGGCAATATCAGAAATGATGGACGAGATGATACAAGAAATAATAGACAACGATATAATGATAAAAAGGACGAGAGAAGAAAGCGAAATAGTAAGAATTATTAGGTATTATTTTTGCTTCATAATAAACTCCCTAATTTAGATTCAGAAAGAAGAACATCTATTCGAGATTTTGGCAGGAATGATACCAAAGAATCCCTTATAATCAGCAATGACAGTAACAAAACAGCTACTAGTGAGTATGAAGACGAAAATAAAATGCCACAACCGACAAGTTTTGATCCAACTTGTTTTGAGGAAGTTAAGTCGAATTCAGGCGAACCATTAGTGGAAACCAATTATGAGGTCAATACAGTAATATTGAGTGGGAATAGAGACTATTTGGTAAGCGAAATTCTTTTTCTCCTCAAGTTTTTCTAGTCCTAGGGCATTACATTTATTGAAAAAAAATGTTTAGGATTTATTTTTTTCACTGTTGAACAATCTAGTATCTTAAAAAAAAGTCTCCAGCCTTAAAATTCTCATGATAGTTCTCGGCTCGTCTTGCAAATTGTATAATTCAGAAGCAAACTGATTCTATTAATATTTACCAAAGGAAACAACTAAAAACTAATAAATCGGGTGCGGAATTTATGCCCAAATGACGCCTAGATCTTAATTTTCGAAATTGTCAATTAATTTTACCACCAGTTGAGAGGTTTACTATTCTTAAAATAAACATATATTTCGTTTATTAATGGAAGTAGAAAAAATAGTATATGCAACTCTCATGTAATGGCCATTGATCCATTCGCATGTTATATACCAAACTCGCCTGCGGCTCGTTTCATATCCTACAACATGCTTGTGTATTAATGGCTATCATTACATGATAATCGCGTAATATACTATTATCACACTGAAGTGGCCATCAGCACTGTCAAAAAATGTTGATCCTATGTAAACAATAAACCGAAATATAAAAGTTTTACTTTTGAGCTCATTTACCTAGATCTTTCGAGTGGCTCTGTACGGAGTCTTTCAAATTCGAGCCACATCATTGGGATCTCGGAAACGGTAAGAGATAAAGGGTTGGTTAAATTGAGGCAAAGTTGCGTAATTTGAGGGTTAACAAAATGCCGCTTTGATATTTAGGATATTCCGAAAAAGCGAAATTTTGTAAAATTGTTTTTATTTTTTCCTGACTTTATTTGAAGTGATATTTCAAAAAAATATCACTTCATCACAGCCACTTTTTCTCCCCTACAAGATGCTGGCTTCAAATTTAAAATCTGACGTTTCCTCTTTGGGCCACCATCATCAACTTTATTTTTCTAAATACGACCCTGGATTTTTTATTTCAGATTTTCAGACCTTCTGATGTCCCAAAACCTATGACATATGGCATTTATTCCAAAGCATATTTTTTACTTTTTAGTAATTTCCTACCAAAATTCTCTTTTCTGTCTCTCTCTAACACATTTAGTTCTTATGGAAAGTTCCAATAATATAAAGTTTTCGAATAAGTGCAATACGTCATTGGTTTTGGGACATTAGAGGCTTATAAAATCTAAAATAAAAAATAAGGGTCCATATTTGAAAAAATGAAGTTGATGATAGTGGCCCAAAGACACAACGTCAGATTTTAAAGGATAACGCACACCTAACATGGGATTTTTGGGTTCTATGGATTTTACCTATTTTTTGATGTGTTGTAGAGGATTTACTTCTTAACAACCTTTAAATGGGACGAAATCTTGTAGGTATTACGGTCTTTGAGATATGAGCGTTGAAAGATGAACTTTTTTGCGATTTTTTGTGTGGAGAGTATACGAAATACTGGTGCTACTGGTGTTTATCAGTCGGAATATTCACAGGTTCACATATTTCACGTCACTAACAAATTAATGTCAACATAGGGCCGGGACTGCACTGGAGTCGTTGGCGCCAGTAGTGCGGTCCCGGCCATGTTGACATTTGTTAGTGACGTAAAATATGTGAACCTGTCAATATTTTGACTGATAAACACCAGTATTCGTATACTCTCTACACAAAAAGTCTCAAAAAAGCTAATCCTTCAACGCTCATATCTCAAATATCGTAATACCTACTTACTTAAAAGATGATTTTTGGCTGTACTTAATATGTTTTATATTATTGTGTAGTATTAATTTTTGTAGTTAAATAATATTTATTATTTATGTAGTTATAGTTATAATATAGTACCTAACTTATGCTTTATTCTTTATATTTTTTCTTAAATTGTATTTTAACAGTTAATGGGGTTTTCCCGTAAATAAATAAATAAATAAATAAGATTTCGTCTCGTTTAAAAGTTGTTAATAATTAAATTCTCTACAACATATCAAAAAATGGGCAAAATCCATAGAGCCCAAAAATCCCAGGTTAGGTGTGCGTTATCCTTTGAAGCTAGCATCTTGTAGGGGAGAAAAAGTGGCTAAGATGAAGTGATTTTTTTTTTGAAAGATCACTTTAAATAAGGTCAGGAAAAAATAAAAATAATTTTGCAAAATTTCGGCTTTTTTCCGGAAATATTCGGAATATCCTAAATATTAAAGCGGCATTTTGTTAAGCATCAAATTACGCAACTTTGCCCTAATTTAACGAACCCTGCAACTTTCACCGTTTCCGAGATCCCAATGATGTGGCTCGAATTTGAAACACCCTGTACAGCTTATTCATAATGTCACCTTAATGCATCCAAACATGAGATATCTTCCTCCATCCCAGTACTGCATATCAGAACTTTAATCTCTAGGAAAAATATATATTGTCTTGGGCAGATGGAGTATCAACAATACTTCAAGATACTGCAGCTTTAATCTCGTCAATCTCCTACTCCAAACTGGAATTTTTCCAAATAACTGGGCAGAAACCTTTTATAGGTCGGTCAACTAGCCGTCAGTAATCAAATATCATCCTTAGTATTTCGATTGCAATTCTGAAGGTTTTTGAGCAATTGATTTGCACCTTTTCATCTCCACAATTTGAGTTTTTTCCAATTGATCAACAATTTGGATTTATACACTTAGTTCTTCAACGCGTTCGATAGGGTTTCTCACGGTGTGTTAGTCCATAAGCTCCGAATGTTCAAGATGGCGAAATCCTGATCTTTTGGCTTGTGAGCTATTCGACTGAGCACAGACCGATTATCGAAATTCGTAATTTCTTATCCAATTCAAGTGCTCGAATAGGTCCATTTCTCTTTAATGTTTTTATTTATGATAAAGGAATGTTTTACTTTACTTTCAGCCACTTTTTGCCCATGATCTTAAATTGAGATGTCTAATCAGGTCTCTCTGAGGATTGTGATAAACTTCAGTATGACTTAAATAACATGCAAGACTGGTGTCTGAGCAATGCCATAGATCTATTTCCTGATGGTTTCCGATTTCGAAACCCGTATTCTTCCAGAATATTCCTCAAATTAAAAAATTGAAATCCAAAAACATCGTAATACATATTAATTTATTTCAATGACCCATTATCAGTATAAACCAAGTTATAAACTCCACCATTCGGCGTGCATTATTTATTAATCAGTACCACTGTTTTGCTACGATTGCATTTTATGTTTTCTTCGAAATCCAACGCGATAAGAGTTAATTGCCGGAACTGAACCTTGACAAATCACAAACCATAATAAAATATTAAATCCAACCATCACTATCGCAGATTCGTAAGCAAAGTAACGAAACCACTTATAAAATGTTTATAAAAGAGTTCTAAAATGGATCATGACAAAGAATTTGTAAATTATTTCAAATGCGCAAACATTTATTAACTGTACAGGGTGTTCCTAAATATCATGTACGAACGAAAGGGGGCGATTCTTTGTTTTTTTTTTTTTTATGACTGAAATTTCAAATAAACATAGGTCCGCAAACGCATTATTACTGATCTACAGGGTGTTGAAATTTCAATATTTTTTTAGCCTTTTCTATATAGCTCCTTCAATTTTTGAGGGATTTAGCTCAAATTTGGAATATAGGTTACGCAATAGGAGCTTAAATGATTGCACATGTCAAACATTTTCCAGAATCTACAGGGTAATTTTCAGGGGTCATGCCCCTGAACTCGAATTGCTCAACTATTTTCTAGTATATTGGTTTATAATCTCACTTCTGTTGTTCACCTAATTTACATATGATTTACATTAGCCTGAACATTTGTCTTGTGTTTATGACTCTTGATGCAGGCCCAAATTCAATAAAATCTATTTCGTTTACCTGACCCAAAATGGTCATATCCATACAACAGCCTGAACAAATCTTTTTCTTATATTTTTATAAACTTCCCACAATACGACATTGCCAAAGGGTCAAGGCAGGTATGTCTTTCACTAATTTCCTTTTTGGAATTTAACAAAAACTTGAAATTTTCTGCTGCTTGCTCGGCCATTTGTATGTCTCAGAACCAGAAGAGTTTAATAATTGATTACAAGTATCACTACATTCATTACTTGTATCACTCTCACTAGAATCTTGATCTTGATCTTTTGGCAAGTCTTTCAGCACGCATGGAATCTGTTTTTTTGGCTGGGCTTATGGATCACTGTAGAAGGGGGCAAATTTATCTTTTGTTTTTGGCAAACGTTAGACATGTGCAATCAAAATTGCAAGAGCTATAAAGAAAAAACTAAAAAAAATATGTATTGATATTTCAACACCCTGTAGATCGGCAACGGAGCGTTTGCAGACCTATATATTCATTTGAAATTTGAGTCATGAAAAAACCCAAATAATCACCCCCTTCCGTTTATACATGATATTTATAGAAACACCCTGTATAATAAACGAATTTTCCAACCCCTTCAATTTAACTACAGAGGCAAGTCTAATAAAAATAAATAATATTCAAAAATCAATTTCAAGTTATAGTAGTTGTGATAAAGTACTTATATAACATGCAATACTGGTGTCTGAGCAATGCCATAGATCTTAACCTAGGCAAATGTGGGGCCATGATCTTCCTCTACTCATGGATCACAATACATTTTCAATATCAGATCAACCCATACCATCATGAAAATGTATTTTTTGTTAAGGACCAGGGGGTCAATTCTTGAATATTCTCGCATACGAAAGTTGATTCGAATTCGAATGACAGCAACGTAAATTAAATAGGGAACGTTCGAAATCACAAAAATTTTCGTATGCGGATTATTCAAGAATTGGGTCCCTGGGTATCATTCAACATTGATATTTATAAAATATTTAAACTAAACAAGCCTGCAAAAAAACCCGATATGGTAAATTTGATGAGATTTGTTCAACAAATAATTTGTTATTTTTGAAAAAAGTTGTTTTGTTTTAAAAAATTAAAATATAAATATTTCTTGTCCTCTAGACCATTTTGATGTGTGTATATTCCAGTACTCTTTGCGGTTATTAGGAAAATATTATTTTTTTAGGATTGGAATGAAGAAGTCGAGTTGAACCACAGACTTGAAGCTGAAGCTTCCCATGACACAATAACAGGAAGCTCTTCATTGACTAGTTTGCAGGAGATAAGCACAAAGTCAATAGCCTCTACCTTGGCCTCTACTGATACACCTAGCTCAAAAAAGAGGCAAGTGACACATTTTGTTTTTTTTTTTTTTTGCTCAAGTTATCTGGTTAGTCAATATTTTTACAATAAAAGTATTTACAGGGAAACAAAACAGACCCAAATTTTCACAGTTACTGTCATTTAAAAGAAAATGCTTTGGCCTTCAAATTTTTATCATTAGAAGAAGCAGCTTTCACAAATTACACTGTTTATTAGAACCTTAAATATTAAGGTAATCCGGCAAAAACGGAAATTACTTTTGATAAGCTGTCAAACATTCTAATTTAACTGACGATAATTTTAACTGTTAACTGTATTATAAAAATCGATTGATTGTAGGTGAAAATTTGCTGTAGGTTATTCTTTGGATATATGTATAGGCTGTCCCAGAAAATGTGGGCAAATTCTCGGATCCAGATAGAACACAAAAAAATAACATGACAACTTCCTAAAGGACGCCTCCGAAAATCTTTTTTTTTTGTCAATAACTTTCAAAATACTTTATTTAATTTTTTTCTTGCTTTCAATATGATGGATAATAGATAAGACCCCTTAAAATGGAGAGATTGCCACCATATTCTGGGATACAGTCGCTGCAGAGCCTGAATTATCCGAGTCCGGATATCCAAGCGTATCAGAATTACTCACAATAATTATTCGTCGGGGTGGTTGAGCTCCATCTTAAATGAGTCGTGTAATATTTGGTTTATTTGTTTATCCGAAATACAAATCATAAAGTTGTGTTAATAATAATCCTAAATGTAAACTTATTAAGGACTAGTTCCAGAGTTACATATTATTATTGTAGACCTTATTGGCTTGAAAATGAAAAACAAAATATTGATTCAGATTATCCCACTTCTTAGTTTTTCTAGGTAGGGCCGCCAGATTATCTTGGATAATTTATTGCTCTACTGTAGTTTGAAATAATTTTTGTGGAAATTAAAACATTTATGTGTAGTATTTGTCCCAATGGGTCATTGAAGTTTGTCATATTACCTAACTCATAACAATCATAACACCTTCTTACCGATTATTGCTTTTAGGAAAAGTGGCAGGAAAAAAAGTAAGCAAAGGTAAGCTCGTTGTGTGTAAAGTGTAGCTTTTTTTCCCTGGGTTTGATTTGGTTTGGCTAATATACTTTGCTCTTTTCATATAGTATTTGAAGTTTATTCAACAAAGTAGTTTATTTCCTCTTCAGGTCCTTGATAAATCATTTCAATTTTTAGAAGTGATAGTGGCTGCAGATATAAAACTCCAACCAATACTAGGGAGAGAAAAGATTCAGTGACGAGTGTAGAAAGCCGTGATAACTTTCAGTAAGTTCCTTTGGTTTTGTGCATGTTTTTCTTGTTTTTACCATATTTTTCTTGTTTTTACCATATTTACACAATTACACGTTCTGCGCCATTCACCCCCATGGAGTGCAGAACAAGTTTCTGAAATTTCTCCTATACAAACGTCTTTTTCCATCCTCTCTTATACCTATAGAACCTGGTTGAAAAGTCTAGAATTCAGACACAGGGATGTTCTGAAGATGCTGTAAAATTGCTCATTCCTATAACAGCACCCTTTTTTTGACAGAATGGTGAACTACTATCATACGTTCTACTGTGACTGTGCCATTTTCAATAGTTCTTTTATACAAATCAAAAACCAAATTACTTTTAAATGATCGACATTTGATGATACATGAGCTAATGCCAACATACAGCTTTTCCGGTTAAAGCACTTCCTGCTTCCAGATATTACGAAATGAATCTGTAAAAGACTCATTTAACCGTAGTATATTAAGTTTTTGTTGCATTTGTAAACATAATGCTGTTTGTTGCAATTCACCATATTAGTTAGGTTAGGAAAAATCGGGCGCGAAATTTTAAATGGGTTCCTAAACAAATTTCAACAAATTTGACAGCAATGTATTTCTTATGGGGGATTCAAAAGAGTGATTTTCAGACGGGAATATCTTGGGTTCTGGGCATTTCTTAGTATTGGAACCTATTGTACGTCAAACTTTGAACATATTTCTCTATAATTCATGCTCTAATTGTTTTTTTAGACCTATGAATTAAAAATACAAATGATTTTAATTATAATTGTCTGTTTTCGGTGGACGTACGTCGGGTCTAAAACCAGCTGAGAGAAAGTGAGGTTGTGTGTTGTGTTATGATTGTTGGTGAATTGTTTATTTATTTATTTATCACTAGTTCAGTCATTTATTTTTCAATTTTTTTGGATTATTGAAGTACATTTACTAACCAAGTATGTAGGTAAACTTTTATTTTATTATAATTTAGGTACTCATATATACTTATGGATCAAGCAACGACATACGTATTTTATACAAACATCGGCTTCTTAAATTGGTAATATTTTTATTTTAACAATGTTTATTCAACTTTCAAACACTCTCTCAGTTAATTGACATATTAAAAAAACTATTTATACAACTCAATTCCGTTACAAACGTTCTATCACGTCTACAGACGCTTTTAAAATTGAGTCCCCATAAGACATCAATGTATTAATTTTTGAACTAGGAACCCGCGCCAATTTGCGATTCTAACCTAACTAATATGATGAATAGAAGCACGAAAACTTGGGTCTATTTTCGACTAGCTTTTAAACATTTGTTCTTTTATCTTTGTCATTTTCAGTTTTTCCATGCAACCATTTTTTTTTGTCCTTAAATGAAGTATTAGGATTCGGGTTTTTTGGTTTGAATTTGTGCATATTATTGACTCGACTTTGTCCAAAACTACAAGGTTTTGAAGCACTCTTGGAGATTCAGATTCAAGATCCGGAATGCTGGGGAGCGATTTTATGTGTATCATTAACCTTTTATTATCAAATCTCTTGCCTAAAAGTGTAAGATATTGTACGCACTGAGGCGCAATGAAGTACGCAAGTAGGGAAGGTTTTAAAATGGATCAGGATTGTCAGCATTAAGAATTAAAGACGAAAAAAACTAATATCAAGTCATCCTTCGTACCATCTAGAAAACTTGAGCAACTTTAGAGTTGGAAGTTTTAACATTGACGAATTTGGATGCATTAGGATGTAGTAGAATCGTTTGGTAACATACTAGCATTTTGTGAGGCAGCAGGGGGTTTTGCATTTTTGAAGCATCAAAGATGCATTCTTTTCTTCAGAAATAGCTTTGTAGTAACAAATTTCGAAACAGTTTTTTTCTTCCTCCTTGAATCTATCAAAATCTATGCCCTCTAAATCAAACTGAACTTTATTATAATCTGATAGTAAGTTGCATTCTAAATCTTTTAATCTTTTTTATTATTATTATTATTGTTATTATTATTATGGGTATGTGCAATACACGGAATAAATCCGATGAAACTGCTGAATCTATTTGAGCTGCTGTTTAAAGAATAGAGATTTGTGGGAAGTCATGCATTGCTCTTGCCAAAAGAACCTTTGCGGTCTTAATAGTCCTCCTGAAACTTAGTTGCCTCATACGGTATAGTGCACAAAGAACGTTATGCTTTGGTTCTGGTTCTTTGTTGTTGATGTGAGTGTTGTTACCAAGACTGTTCCAGAGATAAACCACCCTGTTTGTTAGAAAGTTTCTTCTCATTAGCTTGTTATATTTTTCCTTGGAAAGCTTTAGATTGTGTCATCTGAGATTGGTGTTTTGGTTGAGGTGGTAGATCTCTAAATAGTGCCCATTCATTATTTTGAAAGATTCAATGAGATCTTCTCTCATTCTTCTATCTTTTAGGGTGGTTAGGTCTAGCTGGGTTAATCGTTCCTCATAGGGCAGTTCATGAAGGTCTGGAGGCAGCTTAGTTATTCTTCGTGGTACTCTCTCAATTTGCTCTATGTTTTTAGCATAGTAAAGACTCCAAATAGTTTGTGCATATTCCACTCTTGGCCTGACATATGATTTATGTAGCTTTAGTATCATATCTTTGGAGAGGTCTTTAAATGATTTTTCTATGAGGTAAATCATTGAATAGGCTTTTTTCTATTTTGGTGTCATATCGAAGTCTTTTCGACACTAAAAGTAGTTTCGAAAAGAAGCTCTTTGTGACACTGCTTTTTTACTTATCGGAGGTTGGTAACACTGGCTGACTGATGGCCATCGAACTGTCATTCGCGATTTTCCTTGCGTTCGGTATTTTGCTCAAAGAGCAGAGCGGGCTGAGCGGAGCCGTAATCACGTGACCATTGAGCGAACAGAGCAGTTGAAAGCTGTATTAAAGTGCCAGAAATTTTAATAAACGAACGCTAATGAGGCTGCACCGAGTACACTTTTTAAATAAACGAACGGTAAAGTCAAGCTCGGAGAACTCGGACCAAAATAACGAACGCACGGTTTATAATAGAAGATTTCTATAGTTGGCATGTAGTGTTACCAACCTAAACTATGAAATCAGGAAATATGAGAATAAAATTCCAAGAGAAATTTGTTTTTTTTTAATTAAACAATTCCAAAATAGAAAAAATGGTATAAAATATTCGTTTCATAAGACATTTTATCGCACTCGCCCTTTAGAAAACTCGCCTCCGGCTCGTTTTCTAATATAGGGCTCGTGCGATAAAATGACGTCTTATGAAACTTGTATTTTAATGTACTATTTTGGTCATTTGCGTGATGTGAGTTTCCCATTTCAAGTCCTCGGTTACAGTGATTCCTAGATCTTTCTGTTGTATGACAGGTGCTATTTGAAACTGTTCAAAAAAGTAATTCAATTTAGGGTTGTTCTGGACAATATGTAGGACTGTGCATTTGGAATCATTCAAGGGCATTTTCCATAACTGTATCCATTATTTGATGTCACCTAAATAGGCAAACTAGAGTAGAGGACCGAGAACTGATCCCTGTGGTACTCCACTAAGCACTCTGTGTTCTTTTGAAAGTGTTGGACCCACACGCACTGAAAAGTTCTTTCTGTGAGGAATTCTTCGATCAACTGGAGTAGATTGCCTCTAACTCCGACGTGTTCGATTTAATGAATTAGGAACTGTGTTGGTATTTTGTCAAATGATTTTTGGAAGTCAAGATAAATCACATCGATTGGTTCATGGTTGTCATCTGACAGTGTCCAGTGGTTGAGTCTTGTTAGGAGATTTGTAATCGTTGATTTCCCGGGAAGAAAGCCGTGCTGCTGATCTGGCATGACTCGTATGTCCATAAAAAATTGGGTGAGCTCTTTTGCGATTATTTTCTCCATACATTTGCAAAGTGTACTCGTTAAACTAATAGGTCGATAGTTTTCTGCATGCTGTTTATTTCCTTTTTTATAAATAGGCGTCACCACTGCTTTTTTGCATGCTGCAGGGAATTCCCCTGTTCTTGGTATGTTATTAAGCATGTCAGCTAGTGGCCCTTTAAGCACTTGGATACAGTTCTTGAGGAACACATGAGGGATTTCGTCGAGCCCTGGGCTTGATGATAGTTTGAGTGATTTTACTGCAGTTTCAACTTTTTCCGCAGTGAACACGATATTTTTTAACTCGGTTGTAGCATATGCATACGGTAGTGTGGGCAGAACCGTATTCGAGTTGAGCACTTTGAAAACTTTCTCAAACTCTTCTGCAAAACACTCTGCAATATATTCATTTGATGTTGTGGTTCTTGTGTTATTTTATCAATTAGGCTAAATTTGTGATGTTTTGTGTTGAGGGTGCGATTTATGTAGGCGTAGAATTGTTTACTATTATCCAATAGGTTATGTTCATAGGTTTTTCAAGTTGATGCTATGCATGCCTTGGTCTTGTTGGTGTTTGCTTTTATTTTGTTTGCTATCTTGTATTTAATTTTATTATTTTGGAGATACCAAAGTGTAATGATTTCAAATTATTTGGGCATGAACTAAATTTCAACAATTTTGTTACTCAAAATGTCTCTTTTCCTTGAAAGATCATTGCTTTTTTTCGTTGAAGTAAGCGAAAGCTGCATTATTTGTGGCCTACTTTCTTTTGGGCATTTTGACTTATTCATATAATAATAGTTAGCTGTATAATCTTTGGTATTTGTAATTTTTAGCCAGATTTTTCCGAAGAGTGCAAGTAAAAAGCAAAAAAATGTATATTTTCTTCTCATAGCAAAAACACTGTAGTGTATTCTAATTTTTCGCCTGCTATATTAAATACAGGTATAAGATCCTTTTTCAGTTTTCCGAAGTGTTTTCATGGTTGTTGGTGTTATTGTTTATTGCTTTTATCTTTATGCGTTTATGGTTTATCACTTTTACAGCAAAATGGCAATTTAGAATTTTGGACCACTAAATTTTGGAAGATAAACTGAATATAGTTTTTTATGCTACCTATACCTACTTTCGACAAAAATTCTTTAAAAAAAATAATTTTGAGTCTGATAATTTCTACAGAATTTTGCACAAGAACGTAAAAAATATATTCAAAATAATATCCACCTCTTGTAATATTACTTATGAAAGAAAAAACGTAATTAAGAAAAACATTTATATTTTTATCGCAGAGATAGGTTAACGATAAATTCCTTTATATAGGTAAGCCTTCATTTCTGCTTTGGACTACCCACAGTAGCTTATTTTTGCGCTGTTGCTAATAGGTTTCAATTCTTGGCTAAGATTTGGTCAACGACGTTTTATTGTGCAAAACAACTCACTCTTGAGGTTCACCTTAAGCTTAGCCTCTACCTAACTTAGTTTGTTTTTAAGGACCACCGGTGCAAATAGCTGTTAGTCCTCTTCAATTTACTATTAAGGTATTTTTTTTGTGAAACGTAGCAGAGACGTAACAAAAAAAGTGCTTCTAGGGGGATGTTCCAAGGAAAGATTTTGTTGTTTCTTCTCCTACCAGAAAAATACAATAAAACAGAACTTGTGTCGAGTTTGCGAGGTTCTACCTCTGTTTCGTAACCTATTTGGACGTTGGTCAATCACATTTCGCTCCGAGGGCGCTGTCGCGTTCCTTTTAGACTTGTTCAGGCAGGCAAATACGTTGCCGTATAAATATCAGGTCTGTTTCTGCAGAAATCACAAACCAGTCAGAGTGAATTTCATTGGTTGAAACTAGTTTTCTGACTGTTTTCAATCAATGAAATTCGCTCTGCATGCGGTTTGTGATTTCTGCAGAAACAGACCTATAGTGATAATGAGTGTTTTGGAAATAAATAAAAATCAATTCCAAATTAATTTGAAATTTGTTCCAACAAGATTATATTTCTTGTACTGTTTCATCATTTTTCTGATTAATATTTTATTCTGTCCTTCACATATTATGTTTTCGTCTTTTATTGAAAATATTCCTTACGTTAAGTTATTTCAATTGATCAACTTATTCCTACATAACAGCTCTGTACCATTTAGAATTTTTCCATTACCCCATAGTATCCTTCATAAAGAAATGAATAAATAATAGACAATATTCTAGGATGCCTTTTGATGAAGGGCCCAATGGCAATGGACGCAGAAGAACACGATCATCCAGGAACCACAGGGATTTAAGTTTTGACAGCTTTCGAAATAAATCCCAAGGTCCAAGTAGGGATGCTAGTTTTGACAGAAATCAAGAAAATTGGCGAGATGAAATTATTCGAAGCCGCCAAAACTCGGAAAGAGAAGGTGAGCTTTGAGCTTGAACTTTTTTTTATACATGAAATATTATTATTTTTGTTTGTTAGGTTCCAGTATGTCTCGTCGTCTTAGTAAGGATCGCAGCAGAAAAAATTCCGAGTACGAAGATCAAATAGTGGAAACGCCATCAAAAAAAGGTGGTATACTAGCATCGACATCAAATTCCCCAGAACCGACTTTACCACATACAGACCGCCCAGTATTTCCCGATTTAGACATGAAGGAGACTCAATACAAGACTCTTTTTGATCCTAAGAATCCTAATAAACCCATTTTGGTCAAATCGCCCGGAAATAGAATCGCAGTAGCAGTACCTGGATTTTCAGAAAGTAATTTATTAACACCGAAACTGCATGCGACTGATTCAAGTGGAAAGGCTATACCAACCTGGTATAATGAATCTAGGTAATTTTTTTTAATTCCAATTCCAACATTCTTTGATTATATTATAATATTTTTGATCGAATTGCCAGCAATTAATATAACGTGGAAATATAAGGGCAAAAATTATAGACCTGAGTAAATTTTCATTTTCGATGATCCGATTTTTGAATTGTTTCAATCTGATTCGGATTCTAATTTGGAACTTTAATTTTCCTGAGTTTTTTTGAAGCTTTATCAATAGTCATTCAGGTTCAGGTCATTAAAAATGGAGTGAAATATTATTTTATCTATCAAGTTGCCTAGTGGACCCAGCCAGAACAATGAAATCACCCTTTACAGGACTCGTAATCCAAATCTGAAGCACAAGGACCAGAAAACATCAGCCTTCCTACCTTTTATTTCTGAAAAAAACTAATTTTGATCACATGAGGTTTGTTCATGAGGCGTCAAAAAAAAAACAGATGGAGCCAATGAAATCGTTTTAAAATCGGATGAAAATTGTTTGGGACCGAAAGAATGCCTCTATTAGCAGCATAACGAGTGGCAGAAGTTCTGGAGAACAATAACATCAAGACTGTATACTGGGTGTAAAAAAAATAGTATACCGGACTTTGACAGGTGATACTACATATGAGAACTAAAAAATTTTTTATGAACATATGCCCCAAAATACATTTTCGTTTTGTGAGTAACTATCCTCTGACCTTATGGAAGCTACCCTTTCAGAACTGTTGCGGCTTTTTTTACTTTCATTCATGAATTTAAGCCGTATAACCCTGCTTTAGTCTCTTGCTCTGTTTTCGATCCGTATGTATACCAGACAGATGACCCGTTTGGGAATACAGGTACAATATTTTCTCCCTTGCAGCCTTCAATAGTCACTTTGAAGGAGTGTTCAAATTCGTACCTCTGTTGCATGTGGTGAACTGGTTTTGTAATTACATATGCATTTTTTCATAATGCTCATGTGGCCGACAAAATCCCCTTCCTTAAGTTTTAGGGATTTTGCTACTCTTGAGGCTCCCATGTTGTAGGCCTCTTCACTATTATATCTAGTGAGGAGAGGCCCAACATGACCTCCATTGCGGCGGTTGGACAGGTGGTCATTGCTCCTGTAATTCCAAGACATGCAAACCTTTGTACAGTTGCCAATCGGTTTTGCGCTGTCTGTTGTCTAACTTTTGGCCACCACACTATTGCAGCGTAGGTGAGCATGGGTCTTATAACCATTGTAAATAACCAATAGATCATTTTTGACTTTAGTCCCCAAGTCTTGCTGAATAATCTCCAGCATGTCCAGTCTGTGGCTATTGCCCAGTCGGTTACTGTTTTGAGATGTTGGTTCCAAGTGAGTTTCTGATCCAAGGTAACTCCCAGGTTTTTGACTTCACTTGCGAAATTGATTTGTATCCCATTTAAGGTTGGGGCTGTTAGATTTATGGCCATTTCCACCAGCTATTTTAGGGAATCTCTAATGATAGGTATTCCTTAAACTGACATTTCTCCATGTAAAAATGTCGTTTTAGGGAATACTTATCGTTAAAGCTCCCTTAAAATAGTTGATGGAAACGGCCATTAGCCTCCATTTCCTGGTAAAGGGTACAATAATTTTTTTGTTGGGATTGACACTTAAACCCTCCTGTAGACACCATCTGATAATGACATTTAGGGCATTTTGGATGTACTATCATGCTTACCCCTAATGATGCCTGTGAGGTCGTCAGCATATCCTAGAACTGTAATCCCTTGGGTGCTTAGCGCGTTGAGAAGTTCATCTACTACCAGTGACCACAACAGTAGAGACAATACCTCCCCTTGACTACTGAGACCGTTGCAGAGTCACTTCCAATGGTTGCTTTGATTTTCCTATTCTCGAGCATGGCTTCAATCCATGCAATTGTAGTTTCATCAAGGCCCCTATTTCTAGCCGCTCTTCTTATGGATTCATGTGAGGTGTTATCGAAGGCTCCCTCTATATCAATGAATGCACATAGAGCGGTTTCTTGATTAGAGTGTGCCTTTTCAATCTTAGTGACAAGACTGTGTGGGGCTGTCTCAGTTGATTTACCTGGCTGATAGGCAAATTGATTCTTTTGGAGCGGGATTTCCGTTAGAAATTCACTCCTGATGTGAAGGTCAATAATTTTCTCCGTGGTTTTCAGGAGAAAGGAAGTTAAGCTAATTGGTCTAAATGCCTTAGGCTGTTGTGTAGGACGCCTACAAGCTTTTGGAATGTAGCCTAGTAGGTAGCTAGCGTTGAACATGTTTGTTAGATGTGGTGCTACTTCTTCCAGGCCTTGTTGTAAGAGGGTGGGAAAGATCCCATCTTCACCTGGTGATTTGTAGGGCTGGAAGCTGTTTATAGCCATTTGATCTTATTTCCAGTGAATATCCTTCCGGCTAGGCCTTTATTGCGGTCGGTCAGTCGCGGAACGCCTTTTACCACCACAGCCCTTTTCCTATCAGGTTTCCACTCGATTATCTACCATTTGAAGGGCTGTAACTTCTTCAGGAAGCATCTTGGGGGATATGTTCATGGATTTTTTTTATTTATTTCCATATGTAATATCACGTCGTCTGGTATACTATTTTTTTTTACCCTGTATATGCCAACTAAAACTATAATAAAACACAGACAGGCCATGTAAAGCTGGAAAGCTAATGGCTTCATATACATTGGAATAATTTAAAAAAAAACATTAAGCGTAAAAGAATATAAAAGAAGCTGTCGATATGTTGAAAAATCATCAATAGCCAAGCACTCCTTGGCTTGGCTCTGAATAAAATCCTGTTTGAAGAAACTAAGGTTACATGCAGAACATTGAACACTGAACTATCTTTCACACCTCTTCAGGGAAACAATTGACACCCAAAAACCCTGACGATTCATAGAACCTAAAAAATGTCTGTTTTAAAAACATCTAATTTCTTCCAAGAACGCTTGATAACCAGGGTTTGGGCAAAATAGTAGATTCTTGAGTTCCCAGAAGGATGCTAGATGACGCTTCAAAGTAAGCGCAAATACTGGTGTCCAGTCCTGCTATAAATATTCAGGCTACTAGAACAGCGTGTTCCTTGGTTTCCTTGCCACTTGCCACTTCGTCTTGTTTGGGCTGAATAACCCGCCATCAAGTCTGTAAAGGATTTCACAAAAATGTGTGTAATCCTAATACGGCATGAGTGTCAACATAGTATATTGATGTAGTTGCACTAGAAACCCAGAATAACATAAAAATGTATTTATAGCACAAATGTATTACATCCGATCAAGTCAATTCTAGGGCCATTGCAGTATCCATACAGCAGCTAATGGATCTGGTATTCTGTGGTTGCCGAAAATGAAAAAGCTACAAGCTGCCCATGTGAATGGATTGACTTGAAGATGTCACATGTAACTGGGACATATGGAGAGGAAATCGAAAAACAAAATTTATTGAACCATCCAGGAAATTGGCTGACGGCATCCTAACCTGGATCTCATATATTGTATAATAAAATTGAGGAGATAACAACTCATGTAATCCTCTCCTACCCTGCAATAACCCAGGATTTTCGTATAAACGGCGATCCGTAATTCACTTGATGGTTCCATCAAGGTTGAATTCCATCGTTGTTCAGATTTTATTTTCATCCAAAGTCATTAGGTATAGGAAATAAGGACTTTTTGATGATAACTTGTACAGGGACACTTTCTTATGGAAACTCCCTTTATTTTTAGAAATAGAGAGAACTGGACCCCCCCACTCCGAGGCTCAAATCTCATGAAATCTTGATTTGGTGCAAACCACATTTTGGTATCTTCAACCGTTTAGCCGCTAGAGGGCGATTCTCGATTTTGAGCAATACTGTGAAACCTCCACAACGTTTTTGTTTATGAAAATAATTCATTTCCGTAAAGACTTACTAAAAGCATTTTTTTAAGCAGAATTCAGTGACGTTCTCAGTTTTTTTTCTATTTGCCTCCGATTTCAAGGCATTGACCAAAATCCGATTTTTTTCAATAGGACATCCTATATATTCTTAGCTTATTGGAAAGATCTGCTTTTGCTGATTTCAATGATATAAAGTTCACTAGGTTTGTAGGTTTGTCCCTAACAGTTTTTGAGAAAAAAAATATTTCGTTTTTTTTCATAAGAAACAATGTGTTAGAAGGAGAGCTTTTTCAGTTTCCTTACACCGATAAAGTCCTTCTTCAACACATTGTTTCTTATGAAAACGTCACTGAATTCTGCTTGAAAAAGTGCTTCTAGAAAGTCTTAATGAATTATTTTCATAAACAAAAAAGTTATGGATACTTTACGGTATTGCTCAAAATCGAGAATCGCCGTCTAGCGGCTAAACGGTTGAAAATACAGTTTGCACCAATCAAGATTTCATGAAATTTGAGCCTCAGAGTGGAGGGTCTATTTTTTTCTATCTCTAAAAATAAAGGGTGCATGAGAAAGTGTCCAATTTGGACCACCCTGTACATTAAACATAGAGGTGAGGTGAATGTAGCACAGGCACTTAGTGGTAGGGTCTCACATTTTGTTAATGGGAGTGTGACTGTGAGGGATGTTATAGGAATGGATACAGAGTCGTGTTTTTACATAGATTGTTGATAGGAATAAACATAATAATAATCATCCTAACTATTATTGTTTTGAGTACCTACAGGTAGGGGGGTTTCTTGTGGACCATATGCTTAGGACTCAACACTATTAAATGTCCTTAATGAAATAGTATAATAACAACTTACAACGTCAAAGCTGACGAAAGGATTATGTAACCAAGTTCGACGCTGTATGTCATTGGTCCCAGACAAAAAGGGTTGCGACAGACTGACAAATGAGTAGACAAACACTGAAGTGATTCCATAAGTACAGGTTTTCTGGGCATGGGAGATACGAAACAGATTTCAGAGTATTCTTAAGGCCCATCAAAGTAAAAGGTAATCAATGAGGATCATCATACTCATCGCTATGGCCACACACAACTACTCTAATTTAAAAAAAAAGAGATTTCAAAGAATTTACATTGTTGATTTTTCACTTTGAAAAAGAAACTATTGACATTGAATAAAAAATGTTGCTAGAATGGCAGATATCTTTTTCGGTATATCAGCTGAGCAATAACTTTATTATTGGCATATAAGAACCAGCTATCAACAAAGGGATTGGCATTACTGTTGACACTTTGTCAAACACCCATGCATCAACCAGCGATGCATGATAAACAGTAAAACATCTTGAAACTCTAAATAAAACACAGAATAAACTATAAAAACGACAATCTTCCCTATAAGTTCAAACTACCACCAGTAATAGAAAATGAGGATATTGAAAATATCTTGGGAATCAATTCTTATAAAAACAACTAACATTCACCAAAAAAATAAGTTCTGAAAATAATCGCCAAATTAATGATTTCAAAAATATGTATGTCTGGTATTCATTGTATGAAATGTAACAATCTATCTCACTTATTAAATGACAAACTTTAATGGCTCCACATATTTTTGTTCCAGTGAAGATTTCCAATCGTCACATTTCCCAGACCTGCTCAGAGACATAAAACGCGCTGACGCCGAGCTTCAAGTTATCTTGAGTAGTGGCTTACTTTTAGTAAACTACGAATTTGTAGACAATTTGAGACAATTTCTGAAGAGCGCACTGGAATTTTTGGTTTGTAAAGCCATCAAATTTTGCCAGATCACCAACGTGGAGCAACATATTTGGAAAATGTTATATTATAATATCATCGAAATAACCAGAAAGGCTATACTGGAGGATCCGGATAATAAGGAACAGTATAAAGGGTTTTTACTGTTTCTTATTGATGAAGGCATGACATTTTTCGAAAATCTAACCGCCACACTGGAAGACACTTACAACTTCAAAATAGTGGATTATATAGGGAACAATAGCATGGCGCAGCCAAAAGGCCTGGGCTTTACTAAGCTGGCCTTAGTTTCAACACAAAAAATATTTTTGTTCATTGGCGATTTGGGAAGATACAGGGAGCAGGTCAATGAAACGGCAAATTATGGAAAATGTAGACAGTAAGTAATTTCTTTTTGTGCATTATGCAATTTTTGGCATAATTTTGTATTTGTAGATGGTATATCAAATCCCACGAAATTAACCCAAAAAATGGAAAACCGTACAATCAATTAGCTGTGCTGGCAGTATATTCTGTAAGTAATAAAAAACGTAAAAGTAACATTAGCTCTTATATTTTTTTATTGTTCAATAGAAAAGAAAATTAGATGCGGTTTACTATTATATGAGAAGCCTAATGTCCTCAAATCCAGTTCAATCTGCCAGTGAAAGTTTGAGTTGTTTGTTTTATGAGAACAGGAAGAGGGTGAGTTATAATAATTTCCACATAATTTACCATATTTCCATATTACTTTTGTATGTACATATTTATTATTAATTCCCTGTTTAGTGATTATAATAAAAACTGGTTTATCAATAAATTAATATTTACTATCTCTCTTTTAACATGCTCGTCATATGCATCGCAGTATCTTCAACAAATTTACGTATGTATGGTTCTCGATGTTGTTATATGTGCACCATCTTAACTATTATTGTTTTACGTACACGTAGATTTTCTATTTGTTAACTCTGTCGCATTTTTTTCAACACCCCTGCATGTGATATGATTTTTAATAGATCAATAGTAAAACTTCATTTAAATTATTAGTATGAACAAAACGAAAAGAGACGAAGAGAGGAGAGATTAGAACGCCATAGACAACACATGAAAGAAAAGGAATCGGCAAAACAAGGCACGCTGAATTTCTTGCGTAAAGAAACTTGGATACTTCCTGATGGTAGCAGGAGACAGCACAGAACCTCGCAGGCTTTCCAAGAGGAAATGCAAGACTCTGAAGAAGAAGATTTGGCTTCTTTGAGTAGCGTAAATGTAAGAATTTTCAAAAAAAAAAAAAATAATGAATTTAAAATAATAAATATATTTTTCAGGTCAACAAAAGATTTATAACCAGTTATCTTCATGTTCATGGAAAATTGATAACTAAAATAGGGTAAGTTATTTTTTTCAGAAGTACAGTAAATAAAAAGTTAGCTATTGGGGTTGAATCTCAAGGATAAATTTGAATTTACAGAAAATATTGCTTTTTGTGATGAAAATTTGATCTACTCCCCTTGCGACTTCACATGCAGTCAGGAAATGCAATTATCTCTGTCACAAAGTTGAAAAATTCAAATTATAAACCATGTCCATAAGATAACTTTAAATATGATATGTGTATACACACCTGGCAAGTAAACATCTTGCATGCCAATTTTAATGCGATAGAATGAAATGTCTAGAAAAAGTCTAAGGTTGAATAGAGAACAAAAACGATTTCCCCTGTTCCACCTCTAGCATTCCCAGCGCTTTTTGCTGGAGGTGGAACAGGGGGAATCATTTTCGCTCTCTATTTAACCTTAGACTTTTTCTAAACATTTCATTCTATCGGATTAAAATTGGCATGTAAGATGTTTACATGCCAGGCGTGTATAGCTAGTCCTAGTGCTATAATAATTTGTGCTAGAAACGCAAATTACTGCTAGCGATTTTTTTAGTTTTTTATGTATCATAATTTACACCATATTTACAAGACCTAAACTAAATACAAAAAAAATTAGGTGACTCAATAATCAAAGATTAAGAAATATGAAAAGATGCTCTAGATAGCTATAGAAAGTCTTATAGAAGATAGAGAAGGTTGCATACCTTCCATACAATACAGATTCAAAGTTTAAATTGGTATTCTGCTCTTTTCAGATTGGATTCTTTTCACGACTCAGCGATGCAAATGTTGAAAGAATTTCGCGCCTTATTGCAACATTCACCAGTGCCTTTGCCATGTAATCGATTTTTGCAATTACTAGCCCTCAATATGTTCACCATAGAGTCTACTCAACTAAAAGGTAAGTGAAGATTGAAATATTTAGATTCTACAAAAGAATATATACATCCAGACTTTTAGTGGTTGCCAGGCTTTGGAATTATAAACACTATTAGACGTTTTTTTAAAATCAAGTTCACTTTAATGTAAGATGCTCATTTTTGGAGATGTTATGTGATGCCAATATAAGCTTTGATATAATGCACAGTTTTTGTATCACCAGAAACAATAGTTGTCTAAAGAATCAATATCTGGAAAAAATGTGACCCCTGCGCAAACTGTTTTATATTCGATGATCCTAACTCTTTTCCTTTTATTTGTTTGAATACTAGAACATACTAGGACAATGTCCTGAACACAGGAGTTTCCTCAAGATTTTTGAACCGGTCATACTGAAATTATGAAATTGGGAATTTTTAACCAGACGCGTACCATTCTGAAGGGGTTAAAGGTAAAAATAATCCCATTCTTTTATGGTATTTTTCACATTTTGATTCTAGAATATGATACCTGAAGGATTTTTCCGTATAAAAGATACTGTCTGTGATTTATCCCTGCGCGTCCCTTTCTTCTGCTGCCTTTGTCCTCATTATCTCGTGTGTATATTTCTTTCCTGTGTCCCATTTCCTTCTTGATGTCATTTGGTCTAAGAGTGATTTGGTGGTCATGCCATCTATGTCCAGGTCTATCATTACTTGCATTCTCTGTACCAGCCATCTCTGGCATATTGTGACTGAGTCCACCTCTCCGCAGTAGACACATCTGTCATCGGTCTTGCCTATTCTTTGGGTGTAGGTCCTGAAGGACCCGTGTCCAGTGAGTATTTGAGTGGTGAAGTAGTCGATGCAGGATAGCCATACACTTATATCCGGTATCAGGTGTTTGGTCCATTGTCCCTTTGTTGTATTGTTTTCCCACCTTGTTTGCCATCTTTGAATCTCCCTGTCTTCCTCCATCTTTCTTGTTTCTGAACTAATTGACCTTTCTTCCACTCTATCGATGCATGCCTGTTCTTTGAGAGTCAAATCCAGTGGTGGCATCCCAGTAATAACCTGTAGGACTACGTTCGACGCGGTGTGATAGCTGCACGCCACCCTCAGTAGGCCCTTTCTCTGAGTGCGCTCCATGATCTCCCCGATACTCTCTCAGATACTCTGGGTTCATTTCGATGGAATAGGGCTAATCCTTTTTGGGAAAATTGCAAATTTCTACATCGATACACATTACCAAACTTTTAAGATGCAGCCAATTGTGAGATTAGATTCTGATTTAGCGACAGAAGGTTACGCAGTATGCCGAATTTCCTGATTTCTGTAGGAACGGTTTCGAAAATACCGAGAAAAAAAACTTCTTCAGGGTGCCTTTATGAAGGGGCTAGCTTCTTTATAAGCATTTTTTGAAAAATGTTTATATGAACTTCTCTTCATAAAAATTCCTAAGGAATCAGCGTTTGAATTTTTTTCTGCATGTTTACAATTGTTTTGTAGTGTAATATTTGCTGTTTAGAAGATTCTTGTGGGGTGTATTTGACATGGAACACGTTCTTACATAAGTAATACTTCAGCAGTCATACTGGACGGTCGTGTTCAGGTTTTTGTTCAGTGACTACGCGGGTATTGCAAATTTGATTTGTTTCAATTTAGTTTGTTTTGAATTGATTTGTCGCCGGTATTTATGCATGGTTTGGACAAACCAACTACAAAAGTTCTCTACCAATAAAATAATAATTCCCAAATACCTGCCTATCGAAAATTTCAATGCTCTTGGAGCCTCTTTGAAAAAGAACAATGACCTTTTTTCTGTCATTACTGAACTATACGGCATTTTGAGTAACTTCAACTGCATGTGGAAGCTACTATACAGAAAAATGGATGACATTCACAGCCATCATACCAGAATCTCTGACAATGGACAAGGATCTTTATTCAAATTACCCCGCTCAAACCCTATGAAAAAGTGATCTATGTAGGAATTCCCTAAATTTTTTATATTGTTTAGAGGAAGTCTTCGTGATTAAAAATTACCATTGCGGTAGAGTCCAATAATCGACACTTTCGGAGATATTGGCCAACGATACTGAAAAAAATATATTTAATTTGTGTGGGGTAGTGTCGCATTTTTGTTTTTTCACGAGACTTTTCTAAACGATAACACTGTGCTATACTAGTTCTTCTTTGTAAACAATGACCAACGTTTGAGTAATATTTCTATAGTATCCAAATATTGATACTCTAAAATTATATCTGGAATTCTTATTCTGATTACCTTGTTTTCCAGCTGATATAATTTGTCTTTTTTCAATTGGGCTCATTGAAGAAAGATAAAAATCAGATCAGCGTTTCCGTAAAGGCCTATACCTGACACAGACAGTCCTCCTATGAATTTTATAATTTTAATTATCTAGAATCATTGGCCAATATATCCGAAACTATAGATTATTGGCTTCTAGCGCAATGGTAACTTTTAATCCGGAAGACTTTCTCTGAACAATATAAAAAATTCAGGGAATTCCCACATAGATCACTTTTCCATAAGGTTTGAGCAGACACCTTTAACAGGGAAATGAAACAAAAAAATTTCAATCTGTAATGTCTTCATCGACAGTCATGATGATTCTATCATGTTCCAGGTACTCGACTCATCAAAAAATGAGTTAATAAAGACAGGATTAGCTGCAAATAAGTCAATTCCAATATAAACTGACACGCAGCACAGAAAGTGGTTACTCTAGTTGAAGTTGAAACACCCTTACCTTATCAGAACAACAGGCTTCAGAATTGGTTTATATAGCCATCAGGAAATGTCGATTGATGATGATAAGAACAGGATAGAAGATTCTCATACTCGGTATCGAGTGATCGCTTATGATGATGATGAAGTTCTTTCAAAACATACGAAGCTTGCTTGGGTCTCGTCCCTCTAACTAGTAAATTTATTTTATGTGCCGTTTTCAACATAGATTTTTTCAGTGTGTTTGCTACTCAAGACTCCCTTCAGTCTATATTTGAATCTTCTCGTATAGTCATACATTTTCAATCTCCAACCTCAATAACCAGGTCTAGCACTATCGACTACGTCGTCTCATTGTTTGATCCAAATTTTGTTGACCGTTTTTAGTTCAGGTTTTCCAGTTCATGAAGCAGTTATCACAAACTTTTCTGTAAAGACCAATAGCAGGAATGCCTCACGTAAGTTACTGCCAATTTTCACGGAAAATGTTTTCTAAATTTCAATCAATTGACTGGGATTGCCTTCTTCTCCTGGACATCGATAATGCGTTTTCTTCATTTAAAAATGCACTCTCTGGTTTTTCTTTCAAAGCATTTTCTCTTAGGCCTATCAAAAATACACTGTGGACTACTAAAAGCTTGCGTACATCGGCAAAGAACGTGCACTCATTGTCACTCCTAAAAAAATTCGGATAATCGCTTCTTTCAAAATTACGATGAACTCTATTGAAAAATTTGGAATTATTATTTCTTCGATTTGTTTGCGTCAAAGAGATATAAAATCACTAATTGAACCCTATGCTGGAACAACGTTTCAAACGCCAAATATTGTTTTGTTAGGAATTCGAAAAAAACAAAAAATGATCGATTGCTTTATCAAATATAGTGTATTTGTACCTGATATAGATATAACTTAACTAAAAAGAACTTATCATCTTATAGGCATTGAAGACCACATGAAGAATTGTGATTTTCGAGCATATATTCCTCATTTCATTCAAGCAACGTTGTATATCCATGTCGGTTACAACGTTGTTTCATGGAACTAAGGCGGTTACAACGTTGTTTTAAGACTAAAAACAAACTAGGGCGAAGTTGCACTTAAAACGTTGTTCCGCGAAAAGGACAAACTGGACCAATTAAAATGGCATCAATAACCCATCAAAAAAAATCCTATGCCCCCACTATTAAGTAGGTGGATTATCCAGGGTACATACAACATTGTTCCATGAAAATACAGTTTTTACACATATTGTCGTTTGCAACGTTGTTCCAGCATAGGGTTCAATTATTGCTTGGTTTAAGAGACCAGCGCCTCGACAATAAAGCATTTTCTTAATTTGTGTCAATGTTCTCTCCTCTCCTTTTTTTGAACATAATCAACTCAAGCACAAACACACATAAAATGACAATCTCCACAATAATTACTATTTTGACAACAGTTGACCAGAAACCAATCATTTTTGTGATTTATATTATGCCTTGAAAATTAGCCTCTTGGCTTCCGTCATTCCCCAACTTTGGATTGATGAAAAAATTGAAATCTGCTTGCATGGGAGAAAATAATTGCATCAACTACTGTCAATTTCCTTGTATTTGCATGCAAATTGCATTTAATGTAAACAGGTTTGAGGAAATATAGACACATTATTTAATGATATTATTTACGGACCAAAAGGTAAGTTACAAAGTAACTTAAATATTCAAGTTTAGACCAATAATAGCCTCATAACATTTGGGATTTGCAATTAAAACTGACAGTCGTGTAGTAACTCCAAGACAGGCTATTCCACAGAACAGTTAAAAGCAGTCCGAATCCAAGTTTTTAACAGCCAATAAATCTTCAGGACATCATAAAGCCATAAAGCTACAAATACCCAAATCGACATAAATTTTCTTTTAAATAACCGCCGCCGCCGTTTTGCATATTTTGACATGGCGGAATCGGAGCGCAAAACTACGCTCTTCCAAGTTTTATGACGGAAGTTGCAAATCATACCCGCTTGATTTTTTGTTCTCTCCTGCTGGGCGTAATTTTTTCAACCATTTTGGTCTTATAAATATTCTCTAACCACTTGGGTGGGTTTAATGGTTTTATTTCCTTGACATTCGAAATAAATATACAATTTTTTCGTAAATAATTCATTAAATTCTCTAGAATTTATGCCTCAAAGTATGTACATATGTACTGTGTAGGTACCGTTCGGTAGTGCCCTAAGGGAAATTCCTCTTCATAGTGATGCCCAACCTAGCTCATCGCACTGGGTCAATTTAATTACCTTTTCCAAAAAAA